ACCTATGTTCAATTACCCTCTCCCAACCTATGTTCAATTACCCTCTCCCATAATTTTAAAGTATGAATTCCTCTATAATTTGCACAATAATTTGCACACTCTTGTGCATCCCCTTTATTCTTAGAAATGAGACAAAAGTACTATTCCTCCACTCCTCAGACATCTTTTTAGTTTTTAAAATAATATTAAAGAGTTTAGTAAGCCAAGAAACTCCCAAATCTCCCAAATATTTCCACACTTCAATTGGGATATCATCAGGTCCTACAGACTTTCCACCATTGGTACACAAATGAAAATCAAAAAGTAATGTTCTTAGAAAAAAAATATTCAACATCGGTGGGTGAGTAACTTGGATAAACTTTTTAATGAAGTTTCTGAAGATACGATCAACTTTAGTAATCTTAATATCGTGAATAATAATAAAATATTTTATTTTTTTACCGTCGCATTAGTAAAAAAAAAAGTTGAGGAGGCTTTAAAAAAAAAGATTTTTTCATTTTCATATGTAACATTAATTTTTAATTTTTATGTATGATATCTTACATATATGTAGATACATGAAAAAATTGTGTCTCACTTTTACCAAAAAAAAAAAAAAAAATCGTGTAATAAAAAGTTAAATGTGGTAATAACAACTTCAATCCTTTAAATGTTAATATAAACACTATTAATTATAAGTAAATTTTGATTTAATATAAAATTTTTGTGTGATAAATGTAAAAAGTAAATTTAAATGTTAGATATGTAAATATAGTGGTATGTGACAAGTGTCAAAAATGCTTTAAATGTATTTCCATGAGCTTTGAAAGGACTGCAAAATTATTTCTCAAGAAAAATTAAAAAGAAAAGAAAAACGGTTCACACTTAAATTTACCATCATGATCGTTCATTATGGATCGGACGGTCATAACAGCAAACTTCGAAGCGTATGGTTTCAGGACTTATTGTTCTCCGCTTGAGCCCCGAAATTTACATCTCTGCGTAAACTGGAATGTGAAGGGTGATGGTTGTTCTCTCGAACCTTCGTCACCATTCTTCTGGAGGATCTCGCTGTGTTCCGAACGGCCCAATTCCAAACCCTAGATGCTCCTTCTCAGCAATCCCCCCAAACTGTTGATGCGAACAACTTCAATCCAATGATTCACAAGCAGCAAAACCTAGCCTCCGGCTTTCATGATTCACCGCAACCCCCAACGCTCGAATCGCTGGTAGAGTACCCCGCCCCACCACCCTCTGTTGAAACCCACCTAGCTCCTTCTGTAAGCAAGGACGACAAGCAGGACACGAGAAGTCAGGCGCCATGGCTGGACGGACTTGAGAAGCCTCTGGTATCGGACACTAGCATTCTGAAGACCCACAGTGGAACCGATAGAGATTGCTCGGGAGGGGAGGAGGAGACGAGTAGCCGCAGTCGCCGGCGAAGCCGTTGGGATACTGATTCTTTGGAACAGAACGGGAGTGATGGCACGGGGACTGGAAGGAAGAGGAAGTCCCGGTGGGCCGAGGATGCACCCCTGCCTGTGGTCCAGCTCCCGGATTTCATGAAGGATTTCACTGCGGACCTTGATCCCGAGGTACAATCGCTGAACTTTAGATTACTTGAGATCAATCGCAAGCTCCAGTCAGGGATTTTCCTAGATGATAGGCCTGAAGGTGCTAGGTCACCTTCTCCAGAACCAATCTATGACAACATGGGTATCAGGATAAATACTAGAGAATATAGAGCAAGAGGAAAGCTGATGACAGAGAGACAGGATATCATCTCAAAGCTGATTCAGAAGAATCCGGCTTTCCGTCCTCCTGCAGACTATCGGCCTCCCAAGCTCCAGAAAAAGTTGTATATTCCCATGAAGGAGTATCCAGGTTATAATTTCATCGGGCTTATCATTGGCCCTAGGGGAAACACTCAGAAGAGAATGGAGAAGGAAACTGGTGCAAAGATTGTCATTCGAGGAAAGGGATCAGTGAAGGAAGGAAGGCTGCAGCAGAAGAGAGATTTGAAACATGATCCTGCGGAGAATGAGGATCTTCATGTATTGGTTGAAGCCGAAACCCAAGAGGCCCTCGATAAGGCGGCAGATATGGTCGAGAAGCTCCTACAGCCCGTTGATGAAGTTCTGAATGAACATAAGAGGCAGCAGCTTAGAGAACTTGCAGCTCTTAATGGGACGATTAGGGATGATGAGTTTTGTAGGCTGTGTGGTGAGCCAGGCCACAGGCAGTATGCTTGCCCAGCTCGCGGTTCAACTTTTAAGAGTGATGTTCTTTGCAAGATCTGTGGAGATGGAGGCCACCCAACCATTGATTGCCCGATGAAGGGGTCTGGGTCTGGAAACAAGATGGATGATGAGTACCTGAACTTCTTAGCTGAACTTGGTGGATCTGGACCTGAATCCTTAACAAAGCAAAGCATAACATTACCTATTCAAGCTTCAAATTCTGGAAACAATCCTCCCTGGATTAGTGGTAGTGTTGCTGGGAGTGCTGCAGCTAATGAGATCAAGAAGGATTATGATGAAACTAATTTGTATATTGGTTACCTGCCTCCTAACCTTGACGATCTTAGCTTGATTAGGCTGTTTGGCTCTTTTGGTGATATTGTTATGGCTAAGGTTATCAAGGATAAGATTACTGGACTTAGTAAAGGCTATGGTTTTGTGAAATATTCAGATGTGTCCATGGCTAACCAGGCAATATCCAGCATGCATGGATACCAACTGGAAGGGAGGACTATAGCTGTGAGAGTAGCTGGCAAGCCACCTCAGCCTGTCGTGCCTCCAGGTCCTCCCGCTCCACCTATAACTCCTACACCGTATGGAACAACTGGTGGTTATCCATTACATCAACCTTATATGGCTGGAACCATGGGGAATGCTCAGGCACTACCTCAAGGAAGTTTTGTTGGTGCTCCAGCTCCAGTGGGAACACCAGCTCCACCCCCTTACTCATCTTACCCCCCTCTGCCACCACCTGGTTCTAGCATGTATAATCTAGTGCCAGGCCAAACTATAGCTCCTTATGGAATGCAGTACCCCCCTCCGCCACCAATTTCTGCACCACCATCACCACCTGCACCTCCTGGTTCTACTGATGCAACTAACAATACTCCTTCTGGGTTACCAGCACAGAGTACCACTGCAGCCACTCCACCTTTGCCTGCTCCCATGTATGTTCCATATAGTTCTTCTAGCGCAGGAATGGTTTCACCTATTCCTCCGCCATATTCAACAACTTATGGTTACCAACCTTATTTTACCTCCGTGCCTACTTTACAAGCACCAACTTTTGATCCCACTCGGAGTGTAGCAAATGTCCCATGGGCCTCAAATCCAGCAGCTCCTCAATCTGATTTAAGTGTTTCGAATGCTCATTCGGCCATGGACGAACCAGCTTCTTCTCAACCTGAGGGTGTATCGAATTTACCCTGGACTTCAAATCCATCTTCTTCTCAGCCTGCTTCATCTGCAAATCAGTATAGCACAGTTAGTGATGCTGACACTGAGTATGAGAAGTTTGTTTCTGAGATGCATTGAAACCAATTTTTGGAGATTCTGTTGTTGTCCTGCAAGGTACAGACTTATGTTTTTATCTAGTTTATTATAATGTTGTATCAATGGCCTCCTATTATCTGTTCTTATCTGATTTGACCCATATTACTTTCTAATTTAAAATTAATAATGCTGGACTGAACTACTTATTTCCAAGCAGGTCACCTGATTTTTCCCTACTTGTATTATATTGTGCATTTCTGTTTGGGACCGAACTACTTAATTTTCTGGTCATTATTGTCTATTTTGGCAGGCTTGAGGTTTCTCTGAGCTAGAATGCGACATAAGTACTCTTAGCCTTGCTGTTCTGCAGTGTGGATAAAATGAGCTGATTATAATTGATGTTACTGATATATTTGATTTTCTAGTGCTTAACCATGCTGTTGATTGAATCACAGGACAATGGACCTGAATAAAATGCCTCATGGAGTCATCAATCTATGGATCAGATGATGTTCCCTTATTTATTGGCTATATTGTGAAACTATTTTAAGAAAACTGACATTTTTGTGTTTTTGTTGTTATTTTCTAGAACAAGTACATTGTTTTAGTTTCACACGGTTTTTTTTTCTAATACTAGTTTGACTTGTCTTTGTTTGGTCTCTACTTCTTGGTCTAAGCTTCAAATCTGGTTCTTATTGGCAAAATCAAACATGACGGTACTGGCCTTCTTGCTATGACGTGGGTAAGACTGTCTTGTTTCCAATTTGGTTTCGTGACACTAATATATTGGGAAATTTGCATACGTAGTGTACAATCTTATGTATTTACATGTCACACCTAAACTTTCATATTTATGTACATAGCACTTTGGTGCTTAAAACTATGCATAAAAAATGTATTTCACTTTTAAAAAGCAAAAATAGTGCTATTTTCAATGTGATATTAAAAGTTTGAGTGCTGCGTGTGTAAAGATGAATGTTTAGTTGTTTAATATGTAAATACATAAGAATTGTAAACTATGCATGTAAATGCCCCTAATTTATTTTCTTGGTTAGGCTACTAGTTCTTGTGGGTAACTTTCGTCCCAAGATTGTTTTCTACAGGTTTGGCGGTAAATGCTTAAACTGCTTATTGTTCCTTTACTTCGGAACAAAAAAAATCTTTTATTTCTCATTTCGTATGATAAGTTGTTTATTGTCTTCTTGATTCCTCCACCATCCCCTCTCACATATTTCCTTAAGTTATCTTTTGGTAGTTTAATTTTTCCTTATTTGTCCTATTTGCAAATGCATTCTTGTATAATTTCTTCTATTCTGCTGGTTTTTGCCCATAATTGCTGTTGTTATTTATTTATTTATATATTTATTTTTCTTAGTTAGCCATTTCTACAACAGCAACAGCAGTATCAACCTGATGGGGACTTCATAATGCAGTATCGTTGGTAAATCTATGATGTGGGGCTAGGATTTATTTACCGGGGGAAGTTTCCATGAATTTTGACTTGCTTAGAACTAGAGACACATTGAAAAATATTAGTCTCTCTCTCTCTCTCTCTCTCTCCAATTAGAGCTAGAGACATGTTGAAAAATATTAGTCTCCCTCTCTCTCTCCCTAATTCTAGAAACTCTCTTGTTTTCTTGATGGGACACTCATGAGTAGTTTTGAACTTGAAGAAGAGATCCTGTTTTCTTACTTTTCGTTGGATTTTTGATTTAGTTCAGACTTTTAGTCAAGTATTAATGTCCCGTTTTGAAGCTAGTATATTCTGCTATCAATGGATAAATTTTAAACCAAACCAACAACCAATATTTAGAGAGATTCAAGAAGGAAGACTTTAATCCCTCTCCAAAATGGGCGTGGTTTGCTTTGACCTTAGGAGCTGGTAAGTTGTAACTTGCATTTGTTTTTAGGGTCATTTTATAGCACCCAATTCTTATTTATTTACATATCTCACACCTAAACTTTGGTTTTTAAATACATAGCACTCAAATCTTTAACATCACATAAAAAATAGCACTTTTGCCCCTTTTTAAAATTGAATGCTTAGGTTTAAAGCACCATTATGTATTTAAATATGAAATTTTAGGTTTGAGATAGCAAATACAATATAATTTTGTGCTACATATGTAAATTTTACTTGTTTTTTTGGCTTTCTATGTCAGTGTATTACATTCTACTTCACAATATTTTAGAGTCAGCATCACCAGCAGTAGCTTAGTTTTTATTCCTTTGAAACTCTATTAGTTATACATAATTCATCCAGTTATTTATTGAGCTTTAGGAGGTAAATACTAATGAGTTCCCTTGCACTAATTATGTTGATCTCTTGATAAGTGTAATTGACCTTGTGATTTTTGCCATGAAGATTGGCAAGATCGAGATACAACATTGGGATACTATTCTTAGGGGGTGTTTGGTATGATACTTGTAACAAGATTTAAGCTAGATTTAACGTAAATCTAGCCAAACACCATAAATGGATTAGATAAATCCGCTCTCAAGTTAAACCCAACTTTTACTTGTTCCTTTTATTAAATCTGGATTTATTAAATTCACTTATTAGTTGGATTTAACGGTTTTAGTGTTGGAAAAAAAAATATTTCAAATAGATTTATGACTACACATCAAATGAATTTGACTGGATTAACCTTAATTTAGCCAAACATCAAATTTAAAAATATTTATATTTGATAAATCCAGATTTATTATATTTACTAAATTCTATTTAATTTAAATCCTACTTGTACCCAAACACCCCTTTATATTTACTTTAATGATCTGATTGCAGTATTGACAAATTTTCTCATGGTAGATGTTTTTTTCCCTAATATAAAATTTTAAAAATCATTTATTGTTTGAATTGTTTTTTGTGCCAATAGACGACATTTATTTAGGAACATATGCATACACACACCCCTTGCCAAATATTTCGGCTCTTTTCACGGTTTTTTTTTTTTTTTCTTAAGGTTCTTTTTAGGGTTACTGGAGAAGTATAAAAATGAAGGAAGATATACATACACAACACATATGTATTTACATATCTTACCTCTAGACTTCAATTTTTTACATGTATATACCACCCTTCTTATGCATGGCACGATGTATTTCATTCAAACAGGCCCTTTTTTGTCATACCGTAAGAGAAAACTACAGAGCTGCTCACCATTGTGCACAGATTGTGAAGGAGGTGGATTGTCCCATTCTTGGATTCTTTGCGGGGCATTTTGCTTGTTATTCGGGATTGTAAAAATAGTTTTTGTTTTTACTAATAGAGGGCACAAACCTCATGCATGCAACTTATTGAACGGGTTGTTGATCCTAACTTCGGGTTCGCCTAAAAAGTGAATTAAATTTATTATTAGACTATAGTCATGGATAGTTATACAAAAATTTATCTGCATGATATCAAGGCCTCTAGTGGAGATTATGATCTTGATTCATTTAATTTGTTCTTGGGGCTTTTGCTATAATTGTGCAATAGTTTTTTGAATTTGGTTAGCATAACAGATCTTAGATTGGCATTCAATATTTTAGTGCCTTGAAAACCTTAACCTCATGCTAACAAAGTAAAAATACTTATTCTTGCTATGTTATTTTTCAAGGCTTTAACAAAAGCTTTTTACAATGTTTTGAAGGAAAAATAAACTAGAGTCATGGCTAGCTATAAAAAAATTATTTGCATGCTATCAAGGCCTCTAGTGGAGATTATGATCTTGATTCATTTAATTTGTAATTGGGAGCTTTAGCTATAATGTTTCAATAGCTTGTTGAAGTTGTTTAGCATAACAGAACTTAGATTGGCATTGAATATTTTAGTGGCATGATACCTTAACCTTATGCTAACAAAATAAATAACTTTTTCTTGTTATGTTATGTTTGGAGGCTTTGACAGAAGATTTTTACCAATTTTTTAAAGAAAATTAAATTTTTTTAGGTTTGAGATTATACCGATTTGGGAGTTTTTTGTAGCATGAAGCTTTTGTATTAAGTTGGTTAAAATGATGTTGATTATATGCAAGGCTTTAACAAAGTTTATAGACTCTGGGGGCTTTAACAACATAAAGACTTACAAGTCTTAGCTATATAGTTTTGACAAAAATGTTTAATACATTTATTGTTAGCAATAAGAGAGTATTTCTTTTAATCATAAATTTAATTCAATTTCTAGCCTTGAGCTAATCTATCACCAAATTGCGGAATATAAGACACACTTTGTGGCTTGTAATACTGATTATTTGAAAATTTTGCAATTAGGTGAACGCCTCACAATGTGAATCACGTGTCAAGGCTTGCCACTTCTCTTATTTGGTGGGGCATTCTAAATTAGAATTAGGATTTTTCTTTAAAATAGCTGTGGATGTTGTTGAAGTCGGAACTATAAATATAGTCATTATTTTAAAATCTAAAATATTCATCGTAATTTTTATTTGATTAGATACGAGGAAGATGATTATGATTGAAGATTAAGAATTGAGAATGAGGCGGAGTAGAAAGAATTGTTAGGGATTTGTTTTGTTTTTTAAATCGATAGAGTGGATGGTATTATTTCCCTTCTCATACATGTGTAAAACATTATTGCCTCATAAAAGCTGTATCTCACTTTTGATTTAGTCAAACCACCTTGGCCTAATTAATGGCTGAGAGTTTTATCTTTAAATTAAAAGGTCTTAGGTTTAAGGCCTTGCACATGCAGTGTGCATGTGTTGGTGTGGACTGTGAGTGTGTATGGGTGTAGATAAAAAAGTGGTATTTTTATGTGATATTCAAGAGTTTAGCGGTATTTTTAGTTAATTTTCAACAAATTTACTTCATTGAAAAATATATATATATATATATATATAATCATCAGTTACCTAACTTTGGCTAAATAGTAATAATTTAATTAGCCTCTTAATTTCCATAATCAAGGGGTTAACCTTTTGGCTCTCATTGAGCTTGTTGTGTCATTAATCACTCAGGAATTGAATGTCAGTAAACTTTGGCTAAATATTATAGTTTGTTCCGGACGTTATTTTAACTATGGTTGCTTTGTTATTGTTTGTGTACATTCTAACCTTTTAGGGGCTGTTTCATAACGGATTTAGAGCGGGATTTAAGTTAAATCTTGTCAAACCGGGGTTCATGGAGAAGGCGAAAGCGCAGATTTAAAGCGGGATTTAAGCTAAATCTCGCCGGACTCTCATTTTGGACAAGATGTAGGCGCGAATTTTACAACTCCGGGGTTCATGGATTTCTGTCGTAAGTGCCGTTAATTCTAAATCCCACTTAATCAGTGGATTTATGGGATTTACTGAATTTTCAACGAGTGCGATTGAGATTGAGGTGGATTTATGAGGAACTTTCGAAACCGTTTTAATCGATTCGTGGGATTTAGAGGATTTTGGCTGTCGGGCAGCTTTTCATTCAGGATTTAGTAAATCTGGATTTACAGGATTTACTAAGTCCTAATAACTTAAAATAAATTAGAGCCCCTAAATTATTTACAATATTTTCTTATCCTGCAATATAGTCTTTGAATTCTTGTCTTATTTAAGTGTATTCCACACTTCGCTGTGAAAATACATGCATTCATTTAGTTTTTTTTATACTTTTTACTAAAGATGATATGGACTAAATCAAACATATAAATGCTGTTTACTATTTATAAATAGCAATGTTTGTGTAATTACATCCACATCACTTAGAAATATTATTATTTATAAAACTAGCATCTATGTTATTTTCTTAGAATTATTGAACCAATGCATTTCAAATACACATCACTTGTAATTTATTTTTTTCTTATTCACAATTTATTGTTAGTGTATTAAGATCCTACTGCAAATGTAATTTACTTTTATATATATATAAATATTACTTTGTTTTTTGCAGTTATTAAATCTTAGCAGATTTAATTTTGAAAAGTAAATTTTCTGAAAAAAGAAAATTATAAAATCATTAAAGAAGAAATAGTCAAATGAAATACTTTTTATGATTTGTTTTTTAAAGTATTATACTAATTATTTCGTGATCATTGGGCATGCCCATTCTTCCTTTTTCAAAGTACTATTTTAAAAGTATCTTTAATTGACATTACTATTACCCTTTTACAAGGCAAAACAAAAGAACTTGATTCAAAATATCTGGCATTATAGAAGTAGTAGATTAACATTAAACTAATAAATCTTGTGTATTTGTAATATTTTTTTATGTAAATAGATGCGCTTGGTATAAAAATAAAAATTAAAGTTTAGGCATTAGACATGTAAATACATATAAATTATGAGGTATCCATGTAAATGTCTCATTTTTTTAAAACAATTATCAGTAGTGTTATTTAGTATGATTCTGACCCTATGAAAAAATAATTGAAAAAAAATCAAAGAATTACTATGATAAAGCCTATTTCATCAAAAACCAGATAGCTTAAATCATAATGCAAAGATACAGCACAACATACTTGTAAAGACAAATTCATCAAAAACTAAGTACTAATAATTTTTCTTATCATACTCTATTTGCTCCTTTCTGAACCTCTCCTGAACATAAGAAATGTAGTTTGCAGCTCTGCAATCCACACTCTCCTGCTCTGCGCTTAAACTCCCACCTTCCTTCTTCCCCATGGCAGAGGCTTTTCCGATCGGAACAATTCCAATATTCGCTTCTGCAGCAAAGCCGAGAGAAGCCATGGAAGAGGAGGAAGGAGGCTTCATCACTTTGCTGCTGTATGCCATGGATGAAGGCTTTGTGGCTCTGTAGAAGAAGATTCCCAAGCTGGTGTTCATCCCTCTCCGTAGACGTTTGGCCTCCATCGTGCTTCAGTGTCTTAGGGCTAAAGTAGAACTCCTATTTATAACAAAATTATGCATCCATACTCACTGTACAGTATTTTTGTATATTGTTGTATAAATGTTATGTAACAATATTGTATTTAGAGTGCTCAAGCATAAAGACTCAGCACATAATATTCTCTCATATTTAATAAATGTATATAAAGTACCTAAATATTTTGTGAACTAATTTTATTGCTTACAGAGCTAGATTTAAGCCTGTCCATATATATGCAAGCTGAGTTTGAGTTAACTCGAAAGAATGAAATATTACGTGTGGATGGTTTATATATGCAGATGGGTGAACTCAGACTATATTTGGGGTTTATTCTAGGTGTTCCTAGGGTTAGGGTGTATACCCCTAATCCACACCTACGGATGACCGTACTTAATATACTCGTTCAAATTGGATTATTCTCATGATGGAGAATCAGAAGGACCAATAAAACATATATTTTATAAATTGATGAGAATATATAACATTCTTTTCTTAAAGTTAATCAAAGTCATGATTCTTCCTTAATAATTGCTTGTTAGTGGATGAGATTAATCTACTTGAACGAACGGATAAGATGAATGTTCTTTTCATATTCGAATAAAGAGGAGGCATTATCCTCATTCCTCATAGTATTATAAAGAATCACTCCTATCTTTCAAATCCCTTCTCAGCATGTCAATTTGGCCAGAATAATAATAATTTAATTGAAACTACTAGGATACATATGTTTCGATCGGGATCGTCCATCACATTGCAACATAGAAGATCATCGCCATGATGATCAGATATTATTCATCATATTTCACTTTGTTCTGAAGAATACAACAAAGAGAATATGTAATGAAAATTCTTTACTTGGTGGTTTATGATTCTATATGGATATGGCCAAGAAGATAGGTAAAAGTGGAGGAGATTTTTTTTAATTATAATTATTTTTATTTTTTTTTAATGGAACTTTTGATATGAAAAGTACTCTCACTTTGGCTAGAAAGGCTTAGGATTAATGGTGATTTTTTTAAAAAAATTAATCAAAGGTACTCTCACTTTGGCTAAAAATATAGGACTAATCATTTTCTTAAGATGCCACTTAATGATGTTTTGTATTAATTAGGGAAGTCTATTATATGAGAGAAGTTAAGCTTTAGAACTAGCTTAGGTTAAAATTTAGGAGAAGCGTTGTAAGGGCAACTATATTTACTGGAGATGATTAAACAAATGCTTAAATTCACGAAGATTTACATAGATAATACTTAATTCTTATGTATTTACATATCTAACACAAACTTTATTTCTATATGTATGTTACCTATCTATGCTTGGACACCTGTATTTTACCTTTTAAAAGATTAAAACAAATTATATTTTTTTATTTGATATGAAAATTTTTGGTAATATAAATAAAAAAAAAGTATATATGTATGTGCATGACACAGGCCCTCATCACATGCTGATTTAAACTCGTGCACATCGAATTCCTTAAAATTCGTGCATTAACAAATTTACATGCATACCATCACTCAAATCCTCTAAATTTTGATTTTTTTTTTACATTTATACTGCCAAAATCATTAATATTAAATAAAAGATATCACTATTTTAATTTTTAAGAACAAAAAAAAAGACATTTTCTCGAAATAGTTATGTTAAAATGTTAGAATTGAAATTTAGAAGTACATAAGACTGGAGTGGTTTGTACGCAAACTTCCTAAGACTGTGTAATTAAAATAAATTTCATTTATTAATTTTTTATGAATTTGCTTTATTTTTTCATTTATTTTTAAATTTAAACATACTTTTCAATTATTTTCTCCATATGCATTATTTAATCATACATAGGAATATGAACATTTACATACATGCTACACAATTCTCATATATTTTCATATCTAACAGCAAAATTTTCTTGTTCAGCTACAAAACACTCGAATCTTTAATATGACATCATAAATACCGTTATCATTTATGAAAGTAAAGTATTATAAATATAAATATTAAATTTTAGAAGTAAGAAAGGAACCCTAACTAAATACACATTATTCCAACTTTATTAAATACAAAGCCATCAAAATATTAAACTCACTAATTTTAATTAAGTTCAAACACCTTTAATCATCATGTGTAGTAACTTTTAAGAAGAATATGTGTATTCATCCAAAATTTGGTTACCTAAAACTCAAGTAATCCTTCATGCTTCCTCAAGTAAGGAGCCCTAAACTAAAAGTAAATGAAATCCCTCTTTATTGCCTCCATTAGTTCATAAATCCTTCCCTCACAATAAAAATTAAAAATTACATGATGCCCCACAATGCCTTTTTCTTTGTTATCACCATGACTCAAAAGCTATCTATTTTCTCTAACTTTTGACTCACACATTCTTTTTTCCTTCCTCTTTTCTCACTCTTCTTTCTTGCTCTCTAAGAATTGCATCCCTCTATTAATTAAAGGCCAACGAAGCATTAGAAGAGGGGTGTTCGTTCATCTCCTCTTCTCGCATATTCTACAAACATTGATATGTCGTCCTCGACGGATTGGGGCCCAGTGATTATCGCGACGATACTCTTCATCTTGTTATCTCCTGGTCTTCTGTTTCAATTGCCGGCGAGGGCGAGGGTGATCGAGTTAGGAAACATGGGGACGAGCGCAATTGCGATTCTCGTTCATAGTGTTCTCTTCTTTTGCATACTCACCATTCTTGTTATCGCTATTGGAATTCACATACATGCTGCTTGACCTCTCTATCTTTCTATAAAACTTTTTTTTTTATTATTTTCTATAATTCTTTTCCATCTTTGCTTAATGTGTTGATACAAATGTTAATCATGATTGTTGGGTTGCATTAAAAATAGTCTAATTTTTTTAACAATAGCATTTGGTTGAATGCCCCTCTGTTTTTAAATCTTCACATTTACATAAAGAAGCTCTTATGATTAGCTTTATTCATATTGTCAAAGCCAAGCACAAATCTTAAAGACAACTTATCTTAACTTGGACTTGCAAAAAAAAATCAAAATTTGATCCCTCAAACTTAATCGAAATGAAACTAACAAAATGTAATAATAATGAAACATAGATTTTAATTGATTAATCATGAATTCAGCTTATCTCAGAGCTAATTCGATAATTTTAAGCCCCTCCTAAACAGAATTCAATCAGGCTGCCATCACCAAATTATTTTTTCTTGCAAATTAACAACAAACAGATCATTTGATTAATTAATTGAACGAGTTCTGAACACTTTAATAGGTACTATTATACTAAAAGAACAAGTTCAAACAATAAATTGCTTGATTCATTTATGTTCATGAATAATATCATTTAAAGCTCGTGAATAAGCTCAATTATGTCTTGATGGTAGCTCATTCATGAAAAGTCTAGTTTAAACTCAACAAACTTTATTTGATTTGGCTCAGTCTGTTTTTCCCAATAAAGTATTTATACAAAGCTCAAGTAAGGCTTAGTGAAGCCTCGTTTGTTATGTCAAATAAGCTGCCCCTTAATAAGCACGATAAGACCCTATATAAACCGAGCTCAAACAAACTCTTAGCGAGGTCAAGCTAGAATAGGCACTTGCTCGACTCAGACTTTTTCTTTATGGGGCATTTACATAAATACCACTCAAGTCTTATGTACTTACATGTCTAACAACTAAAGTTTAATTTTTAGCTACATGCCACCACACCTATGCATGAAAATGTGTCTTTTTCACTATTTAAAAGTTAAAATGGTGGCATTTTTGTTCAGAAGCCTTGTTCAGAAGCCTAGAAGCAGGATAGTATAGATGGTATTTTTGTAATTCAAATAGAAAAAGCACCAACCTTTTCAGCTTCTCAAGCATAGTTCAGCCTGAAAATGTCATTCAGCACAGAGAAGCTACCTTGTGGCGTTGGGATCATCAGATGAAACATCTGTAGCAGAGAAAACGCAAATTATTTTCTGTAAAATAGTCAAATAGAAAATCAGAATATAACTTTAGGAGCATTTACATATATACCACCCCATTATTAAGTACTTACATATCAACAACTAAACTTTGCTATTTATTTATACCACCCAAATTTTTCATATCACATAAAAAATGAAGTTAGATATGTAACAAAATCGAAATTGAGAGGTATGTACGTGAATCTTCCATAACTTTTAAGGTTTGTCCATAGATGTATCAGTGTGTTGGGTTCATAAGGTGCTGAAAAATATAAGGTTAGTGTTACTCGATAAACAGAGGGAGAGATGGATAAGAGACAATCAGTAAATTTCACCATCATATTATCTCACTTGTTGTACACAACAATATATTATGTGTGACACCTACAGAATAATTTCCCCGATGATTCGGCCGACAGAGCGTGTGAAGCACCGGTTTCAGCTACGTGCGCCAAATAACACCAAAACGATGCCATCAATTTTTAAGAAAAAGGAAGATTTACAAAACGTACCGCACAATTCTTATGCATTTACATAATTAAACCTAAAGCTTGATGTGTACATTACATTTATAATACCTAACCTATGCATGAGAAGGTGTACTTCACATTTGAAAAGGAAATTACAGTGATATTATTGAAGCGATGATAAAAATTTGAATGTTATGCATGTAAATAACAGAGTGGGTGTTTGATATGTAAATCCGTCGGGGCAATTACATACGAATCATCCAAAACTTGCTATTTACAAATCTAACGCCCTCTTTCACCCATTTTTCAAATCCTCACTCAAATATCAAAATTGATGATAAAACCCCAACCCACTTTTTTTTTCATTTTTTATCAAATTTCCAATAGTTTGATCATGGCAAGCGTAAATACATCAGTTCGCTAGTTAAAAAAAAAATCACCTTGGTGGTTAATTTGTAAATATCAATGTTTCTGGTGGTCTGCATGTAGTTATCTCAAATATGTATGAATTATGTGGTATTTATGTAAATGCCCCTAAAAGCATGCAAATGGAAACATCGAAGAAGAAAACTTTACTGATCATGTAAAGAGTTCTTTTAAGGTTGCGAAACCATGGCCTTCGCTTCAGAAATCAAATGCAATGCTTAGACAAATGGTTGGTGGTTTGTTTGATGAATTTTACTCGCTTCAATTTGGGTAACAAACATTAAAATTGGCCGGTTAAAATCAAACTTAAATGAGATGTTACTAAAAGAAAAAAAGCAGCCAAATTTTGTGCACAAATGATACCGTCCTACCTAGTTGGGGTATTGGAATAAATATATTATTATGAAGAAGATTGATGGTTGATTACAATCCACAAAATCTCGTAGCTTTCTTCATGAAGTTGCATGGCAATATATGGTTCAATGATATACATAAAAAGCCCTCCAAATGACATGGAAACACTACGAAGAGGTCAAAATTGCAAATAATGACGGCCACACATAACAAAGCCAAAAAAACAAAATAAAAACCTGATGCACGACTATCCCATACAGTATTTTCGAAGAGCCCTTTATGAAATGAAGGAGATTTTCCTACTTCAAAGGGCTAAATGTGAACTTGAGGCTAAGTTCAACAAAGTGCTCAATACTGAAAGTGAGAATGAAATCATCATTTTTGCGAGTTTTGTGAGAGTATGAAATCGATATTGGAGTTTAACTACATATAACCAAATAATAAATTGAAGAAAACATAAATGTTACAAATTATATTAATTATATGAGAATAGAATCTTTTAGTCGTTCAATGCTTTTGTCAGAGAGAATAATGAAAAGAGGGTTAAGAAGAATAAGTAGTTGTCAAGTTGCATCAAAGATCTCTTGAAGTTAATGATTATATCATCAATAGCTGTCAAGTGAAAAGAGATTTATTCATTAAAATGATTTAATCAAAAACCAAAATATAATCCCCAATTATAAAAACTTTTCAAAAAAGAATTCATACCAAATCACAAATAATCTTAATATATTCAAATCAACTGTTGTTGTTGCGAGATCTAGATATATGAGTTGATGTGGTATATATATAAATCAAACAGGAGAACGATCGATGAAATGAAAAATAGAACGAGAAAAATCACTCCAGAAAAGAACAAGACAGAGGAACACACATATTTACGTGGTTCGGCAAATTGTTTATGTCCACAGAGTTGCAGAAGATTTTACTAATTGAAGAATTTATACCAGTCGATTACGTCGATTTACAAGAGGAATCACTCACTCTTTGTTGCTCTCTCTTTTCTTCTCTCTCTGTTCTTCTCTCTCTATACCGAGATACACCGAAGAAAACTCTACACCAAGATACACCGAAGAAGACAAACTTACAAGAGAAATAAACTCAATTTCTCTTCTGCCACAAGCCACCAATAAGAAGCCTAGGGAGAACAATCTTCTTCTTCTTATTTCTTCTTCCTTTTGCCGCAAAAAACTGCTCCTCATTGCACTTCTCTTCCTCTGCCCCGAGGAAACCTTCCTCTATCTCGAGAGGAAACCTTCCCGAGGAAACCTTCCTCTATCTCGAGGAAACTGAAGAAGAACTCAAAGCGTGACTACAAAACCCAAGGAGAGCCATTCGAAGCTTTTATCTTGAACAGGAGGGAGCGAAGATATGCTTCACTTCACAAAAGAGGAAGACATGAGTGGTTATTTGTGAAGAGGTGCGACTCTCCAAAGCAAAGTAACCACCCAAACATAGTGGACTAGGCTGCACCGTTTCTAATATCAACATCTTCTGATTAACACAATCAGTTAATCAATCCAACAACAACATCGTTCAGAACAACTATAACTCAAATCCATGATCAGATCAAGAAATGGATAATTCCAAACCTGACTGAACTTGAGCGGATGGTGTTCGCCGGCGAGCTAGATAGATCCATTGACGAAGGTGATCACTCCGTCGGTGGGTCCAATTGTCTGGCAATAAATGTTGGAGATGTTGTGTTGGCATTGCTGGAATAGAAGTCCGACAGTTTAGTGGTGATTCCGACGACGCCATGAATCTACACCCATTCGAAGATATAATCGAGTTCTCCTGATAAAGACCAGCGAGCCCAGTGCGACAGTAGTGCTCATCGAAAACCCTAGCAGCTGCGTTGGCAGCCATCGCCGATCGAAAGTGGAAGCTGAAACACTATTGGACTCCGGATGCATAATGGAGGCATGACCTAATAATTTTTTTCACCGAAGGGCTGGCATAATATCGAATATAATTTTAAATATGAAAAAAAAAATTATGTATCTTTTTGGGATATTTGATTATTTAATATTACATGATTTTTTAAAAAAATTAATTGTTAGTTTTTTTGGACAAATGGAACCAATTTAAATATTGTTATGAATTTATCTGAAGAAATAAAATGTTATATCTTTTCTTTTGTTTTCTTTTTTCTTATTTAAAAGTTCATGACAATAAAATAATTAAAAAAAGGAAGATTTACATACATGCCATTTCATACTTATGTATTCATATATCTAACATGTAAACATATACGATATTGTACCCATATATGAACATTTGTATTCCATTTTTTTAGAAATTAAAATAATAATATTTTTGATGTGATATGAAAGATTTTAACGGTATAAATATAAAAAAGTTAAATTTATATGTTATATATGTAATTAGAAAAGAATTAAGTGGTGTTATTGTTAAATGTCCTATGACACTTAACAATAACATCACTCAATTATTTACTAATTAGGTATATAACATTTAAATTTAACTTTTTAATATATATATATATATATAAAGAAACAAAAAGGGCTACAATTTTTAATTTGCTTGAATATTTTTAAACCTCATGGACCCAACATTAATTATAGTATCTTTGCTTAGGAAAGAAAATAAGTACTAATTATAAGTTTTCAGGTGGCGTTGGGCCCACTTGATAGTTATATGCCACTCCCCACATATTATTATTATTATTATTATTATTATGTGACTCTTGGCAAGGAATATACTTCAACTCTAATTTGATTTTTGATTCCATAAAAGTAACTGAGGATTAACTTTAAGAATCAATGTGTTTAAGCACCACACAATATCAAATTAATCAGGCACCACATTTTACTAACCATAGATGTAATTAAATTTACCATGAGTGCCATTTTGCATATGGCCATAAAAATTGCACATTCAACAAGATCCAAACAAAAAAGTTAAAAAAAAAAAGGTCTCTGAATACAATTCCTGATAATAAGCCTTTGCTGAGGGGTGTAAATGGAAAATGCAACTCTAATTTCACCTCAAACGTTCTTAACTTATTTTGCCAAAAAACAATAAAAAAAAAACAAAAAAAGAAAGATTAAGCCAACAATTTCAAGCTCCTAATTGGAAGAACAGAAAGAATATAGCAGATAGTGCAGTCACGAGAAAAACAGTAGAACTCAGTTTCATGGCAGCTTCTGAAGGAGATTCAGTATTTGCAGATGTAGCGGTTGAGGAGTTTGCTGCAACAAAAAGTGTGAGAAAGCTTTCAGCTGATGAAAATTTTAAATTAGTAGACAAAAACTTCTTTACAGATTTTACCATAAGAAGCATTGGTGAAGATCGCAATGTCCGGTGAATTGGGAGGTAAATTCAGAAGCTCTGTAACAGTAAATTATGTAATAATTAGAAACCTTTTACAATGTTTCACAATGTCTACATATTCACATATCTAACACCTAGACTCTCGTCAAAGTTTTAACTTTTAAAAAGTGAAATACACCTTTTCATGATTAGGTAAGGCAGTATATATATATGTAAAAACTTGAAGCTTTGGTGTTAGATATGTAAAGACATAGGATTTAAGTGGTATTTAAGTAAATCATCCAAAGAATAAACAGTTAAGGATTGGAGTCAAAGTTTCTTAGCATTAAAAGATATTAATATGATAAAAAAGTAGATCTATCTCTGAGTTCAAAAACTAAAACATATTAATCTATTATGCATTTTGTTGTTCTTCTCCACCTTCCTAATTTCTAGAGTTATCAGCATCCTCAAATTACTGTTTATCCTTTCCAATCTGAATGTTTCTCTTCTTTGAACTAGGACGAAAACTCAAGGCGAAAAAATGAGAACACATGTCCGAGTTCTTGATCTAATTCCAAAGGCCTATATTGATTAGTCTTGATTCAGAGTAATGTTAACTCGAGAGTAATTCATTTAACTCACTATAATACGAGAAAATATTACGTGTGATTATCTGCAAACAGAAGCGAACAACTTCTGAGGACACTCACACATAATATTTTGCCAATAAATTCAAAATCGTTATGACATTATAACTAAAGCTAATGATCAAATCTTCAAGCTGGACTCAATTAAAAAAAGGAGCATTTAGATACAGACCACTCAATTCCTATGTATTAACATATATAATATATATACTTTAATTTTTATATTCATATCAACCAAATATTTTACATCACATAAAAAAAAATCATCATTTTAACTTTTCAAAAGTGAAAAACACCTTTATGCATTGGTTAGACGGTATGCATTAAAAACCGAGGAATAACAAAAGAGAAAGATAAAATAAAGGGAATAAAGTTTTGCAAAATAAAATCAAAATTTTCAAGGTATAAAGCCATCTCTCATCAGTCAGCTTGAGCTCAATTCGATAAGCTGCCCAAGAACTAGATGGACGAGCTAACAATTCGAGCTCAAGCCAACCATGATCCCTGACTCGACTCGTTAGCTTATGAGCTGGTTCTTTTACAACAATAGTAATACATAATAATCAAGATATATTACATTTTCAGATTTTATCTTATAAGATTATAAAAAATATTTAAATAAATATTTTTTTATTGTATATTATGTGATTTTTTATTATTTATCTTTTATTTAATTATTTTATTTATCATCTTATTATAAAACTAGCATAAATTAATATCATTTTCTCTTTTTAATAATAAATAAATTGGCGTAGATTTAGGATTTATTTGGGGCAGCTTTGAAGAAGAAAAAAAAAAAAACAGTTTTCTATAATAAAAATTTTTAAAAAACAACATTAAAGGAGTTCCTCTTAAACTGGAACAAGAACTCAAACTCAAACTCAAACTCAAAGTCGAAAAAATTAAAAAGATAACTTTTGTTAATCTATGCATCCAAAGTAATAAGATAAGCTTACTAGGGCAATAGCTGACGCTGGCGTTAGCAAGAGCACAAGCCCTAGGAAGAGTAAGAAGACGATCCAGCCGGAGATGAAAAGCTGAAAACCCGCCACCACCGGCGTGAGCCTGTCGAATAACAAGACAAAGGCAAGCCGGATCCTCACCCCTCATCTCCGTCACCGATCCGCAGCACTTCCCTGTCGGCGCCGCCTCCTGTCCGCTCGCATATCCCAAACAATCCGTCAGCTTCGAAGCCTCCGTTGCGCAGTTCTGGTCGATTGATGGTGCGTCGCTCGCTCTCGCGGCGGCGAAGAAGAGTAGGAGAAGGAGGAGGAGGGAGAAGAGGGGGATGCGAAAGGGAGCCATGGGGTTGGGTTCTAGTGTGCTCACAAGTTGTTTGTGGTAATGCCTAGCAGAGATATTAGTAGAGAGAAGCATTGAATGGGGGTGGATGGGAGTTGCGTTGCGGAGTATTAATGCGGCTGATAAGGTGGTGGACAGTGGCGGATTTAGTTCAAGTTGGACGGCCGTCGGTATTTATATTATTATTATTATTATTATTATATATATATATATACACACACATGCATTATTTATTTAACTGAATTTAACGTTTTTAGATTTATCATTAATTAATTTTTGTTTATTTTACATCAAGAATGAGCCAACATAGATCCTAAGGAGATTCAGTGATCCCTAATGAAATAAGTACAAATAAGGAGGACTCACCGAAAAGAGAGTAATACGATCACTTATCTAAGCAAATGACAAAAATAATCAAATCAGAAGAAGAACAAAAAGAATATCAATCTCTAAGCTGATTGTACTTGAGCAATAAAGATAATCAAATAATCACAGACCTACTTCTCGATAAATTTGACCTGAGTAAAGAATCTAGTTTCTTCACATCACCAGTCGTCCCACATACGCATCCCGAGATTCCTCATTAAAGCCAAGAATTAGCGATATAATCAAATCATCACAGACATATCTAGGTGCGGTGTGAAAACGATGCTTTTAGCGTTTTCAAAACACAGTTTACCCAAACAGACCCAGTGTGTTTTCAAAACGTCACCGCACCAAATAAGCTGCCCCAAATGGACTATAAGATGTTCACTTATCTAAGCAAATGACAAAAAATAATCAAATCAAGAGAAGAACAAAAAGAATAATCAATCTCTAAGCTGATTGGACTTAAGCAATAAAGATAATCAAATTATCACATACCTACTTCTCGATAAATTCGACCTGAGTAAAGAATCCAGTTTCTTCACATCACCAGTCGTCCCACAAACACCTCCTGAGATTCCTCATTAAAGCCAATAATTAACAATACAATAAAGCCTCACAGTCAGTTTGAATGATCTCCAAGGCAAAGAGTGAGTTATCTATCAGGTTGCAGCAATTTATTATCTGTTTGATAGCCTAATTTTGTTTCATCTGATAGACCTTTCTCATCTAAGGATTCAGGGTTGATAGTCAAACTAGATCAACTGATCGTCAAAGTCTAGCCGATTGAATCAGTTTTGCTGACTTGGACCAGCCGATCGGCTAACAACGACTCGGCCTAGTCGATCGAGCCCTAAGGCAGCTGAACAATAAACTCATACATGTAAAATATCTAGAACAATATGCATAGCTCGCATTAAAACTAGCTTAGAAGTATAATATCACATATTGTATCTTCTCACTTATAAATATGTTAATCATTTTATGAGAAATGACTAATAAACAATAAATTTTACTATTTATTATGATTGCATTATTTCTCTCATTTCTTAGGCTCTAACTCTTGAGGTGTGATTCATGGACAAATCAAGATTCAATAGCATGCATGACATGGATCCCACATTATGATATTTGACATATTATTATATATGAGCCACCAAGTTCAAACTTTTTGTCTGGCTAAGAGGCAGTGCAATATATTTATATCATGATGAGTTGTCTAATAGTTATTTTTACACAAATCTATGATAGATATAAATCAAATTCAAAATTTTAAGAATAATTCATTAGGACTTAATACTTACCAGCAGTTATCCCGTAGTAGTAGTGTGATGCCAATGCTTTTTAGGTTCCAATTTCAAATAGTAAGAATTAAATGGAATTCAATTCAATGTAGGAGACACAATTAATGCAACTTTTAATCCTTACGTGAGCATTCTACCTTATTTTTGAAAAGAAATCCGGATGAGAATGCAAATAGAGATTTTGCATTTCCATGCGCCGTGTGGTTGGATGTGAAATGGGAAAATTACATCTAGAATGCATGGATTAACAAAAAATGGTGTTTGATTTTAAAATTTTGGAATGATGTTTAATGCTAGTGGATTTCAAACTCATTCTGAATTTCAATTGTGTTGTATTTCAGACTTATTATATTTGATTAATTGCCAAAATTTTTCGTAGAAATTGTTGTCACAACTGTAGGGCTCCATCCCCTGCTTACTTGCACCACACCTGATCTCCTACATCCTAGAGGTTATTGCATACTGATAATGCATGTACGGATTTGGGTATGCTTAGGATGTATTTAGAGTGTAATTAGGGGAGTACATTATAAATACACTCAATCTGATTTTGTCTTAACACGCTCTAAATACGTCCATATGATTTATATGTAATAATTTTTCTCACCTAGCAGTCAATATTGCTTCCAAATTACATACTAAATTTTCTTTTACCTAAAAACAGCTTAAAAAATTTATAGCTCTTAAATATTTTAAATTGTGATATAAAATTAGAGAACATTTGTTGCTTCCAATGTTGGCAAATGTTGGCAAGAGAGGTGCTCTAAATAAGAGGGTCATGTAATTTTCTTGGGGCATGTACAAAGATACCACTCAATTCTTATGTATTTACATAGTTAACACAAAAAATATGTTTTTTTTTATATTTATACCACTCAAATCGTTCATATCACATCAAAAATACCGTTATTTAACATTTAAAAAGTGAAAGACACATTTTCATGCATAAATAGGATTGCATATATATGTTAACAATGAAATTTAGGTTTTAGATATATAATTGTGTAAGCACGTAAATCTAATTACTCGTTTCATCGAAAATTAAATAATGTGAATCAACATATTGTGGATTTTATGCCATTTTTTGTATGGTTTGCATTGCCAATGATAATATTATATCCTTTTACAAGTGTTTATAGGGTTTATAAAGCTCTAGAACGTCTTAACATCCAAAAGAAACTCAGCTCCAATCATATAAAATGGGATTACTTTAAGTAGGATATGCACCCGACAAAGACAATTAGTGTGTAAAAGTCACCAATTTTAATAATGTCAATCATCTATAGTTTTCATAATTTTTTTTTTATATATAAAATTTTGATGTGCCGAAACTTAATTATGACCATCATGTATGAGAGGGCTATGCCTTCAGGATATTCAACATTATAGTTTAGATTTTTTATTAGAAGATTTTTTGAATAATTTTTTTATATCTTTCACAGAAAAATTATATACATATATAAATATATATATTCACGACAGTAAAGTCGTAGATTATCTTCTTAGCGTAGCACAAAGATTTAAACACACTTAGAAAAAAAATAAACTAATAATGATACCATAAATTTTTATGTGAAAAACCTGAAAAGAAAAAAATCGTATGGTCTTACCCAGCTGAAAAGTTCTACTAAAAAAAGATGATTACAGTTGTCACCACTTGTCTCATAAACAAGAAATGATTGATGGATTTCCCAAGTTACAACATCGACTAGCAACGACCAATAGTAATTAACGACACCTAGTTAGTGGTAGTCGACGGTGGTTGGTGGTGATCGACGGCGGTCGACGGTATTCTACAAACATTGGTGGTTGGTGATGATGGTCTGTAGTGGTCAACAACAGTCGATGGTGGTTAACAACGGTTGTTGGTTGACTGGCTGCAACCACTTGTCTCAATGGTTCAAATCTTTCTTAAAGTCTCAAGCTCTCCTCCCCTCTCATAAGAGGGTTGAGGTTATATTTATAGAGTTTATGTGCAATTAATACATGAATATGAATCACTTTGATTGAACAGCTCAGAGAACTTTCCTCGAGCAAATAACATTTTATGAACATTAGAGTTTCTTAATGATATCAAAATTGAGTGAACTTGGGCTCGTTGGATTCGTTTTGTCAAGACACTCTATTTTACTATAGACTTGTCAAAATTGACATTCGTTTCATCTTCCAAATATGTCCATACAACATCGAATAGTGGCTCAATGGCTTGATCTAGGGTTGATTTGGTTCGGATTAGACTAATTTTGATAAACTTATGTTCTTCTTGTTGAACCGGTCAGTTTAACTACAAGTTTGTTTAAATCATAGTTCCGTAAGGCTTTCTATTGAGATTTATTTCATGCTTAAAAAGTCATCTAAAAATCTATGTCATACCTCAACATTCATGTCAAATAATGGAGATTTGTTAGAGTTGTATCATATATATATATATATATATATATAGAAAAAACTAATTTTGTAACTTGAGCTTCTAAGTCACCTAGGTGTTAGGTATACTATTATATATATATATATATATATAATTTTATAGAAACGAAAACCTCAACATTTATTTTTAAATTTTTATAAAATTTACAATGGTTTGGCCAAAATCAGAACATTCTTAAAAAGGGGTTATTTACATACATAACACTCGATTCCTATGTATTCACATATCTAAGGAGTAACTTTACTTTTTACATTGATACCACTCAAATCTTTCATCGCATCAAAAATATCATTATTTTAATTTTTAAAAATTGAAATGAATATTTTCAAGGATACATATTCTATACATATATATATCTAAAATTGAAGTTTTGCTAAACATGCAACGAAAATAAAACAAATTGAGAGGTCAGTTTGTAACTGTTGAAATTCATAATAATATTTTCATATCATACTTTGAATGTAGTAAATTTCCAGAGATTTCATTGTGACATATGCAAACATGCTACTTAATAATTCCAAAAACATTATAATATTAATAGCATAAATCATTAAACTTTCAAAAATATATGAATAAATAATTTCAATTAATAATATTTAGTTCTTTTAACTTAAATTATATCATGGTGAATTAGTCGGTGCAGGCCGCCACATAGAAGCTAAGAATCCGATCCTCTCTCCCTCCTAACCACCTCTCCTTCTTCCCCTCTCCCATAAAATCTCTCTCCCTCTCTCTCTCGGCCTCTCTCTCTCTTCCATTAAAAGGATAAAATTGTTGATTCTATAAGCCATATAGAAGAGTTCTTAACTTACAGATCTCTGCAGTCTCCAGTTCTTCATTATGGGCCATTTCTGGGCTTTTCTCTCTCTTATCCACTCTCTAGCTGGGTACTCTAATTTCATAACAAATCTCTCTTTTTTCTTATTTTTTATGATGTTTAAAATCATTTTCTAAAATCATATATATATATATCTATATATATATATATGCAGGCCATCGCTCACACTCTTATACCCCTTGTAAGTTCATCTCTCTCTCTCTCTCCTCTCTCTGTCTATATTAGTGTTCTAATCTTTTTTTTGTTTTTACTTTAAGGTAAATGTGATATAGTTATATTATATTATACATATATCATATTAATTTTAAAATAGATTTTAAATTTTCTGAAAAAAAAAATGAAGCAAGATTAATATAAAAAATCATTAAATTTACTAAAATTAACGTTGAGAATAAATATATTTCTGATAATGTGAATGATAAAATATTTTTATATTGATTAATTGCATCAGAATAAAACCAAATATTGTAAATATTATTCAGATGAAATATATTATGAATGATTATTATTAAATTGAAATTAATGAATTGAAAGATATGCTTCTGTTTGTGCGATCGAGAGCACGTCCAAGCTGGATGATGAGCAGTGGTTAGCTTATTGGATTCTTTACTCTTTCATCACTCTCATGGAGATGGTGGCAGCGCCTATTTTATATTGGTAAATTTTTATTTATATTTAATTAAATTATCAAAATTATCCGGCAATATTTATATATAAGAGGTCATTTTTATTTCAGAGTTTATAGAGGTGTTAAAATAATCCTCAAACTCTAATCTGTATAGAAATAAATGAGCTGAGTTTTGAAACAAAAAATTGGATATAATTTTTCTAGTGCTTATTTCAAGCCATACAAGTATCGGCCCGAATTGACTCGTGATCGGCTCAAATTATTTTTTAGTTATAAAAGTTATATATAATGTTAAATAAAATCATACCTAACAAGCTTCGAGCTGAAATTTATCCAATTAACTCAAATTGAACCATCTTGTTCCACTTTCGAGTTGGATCCTATCAAGCTAATTTCAAGCTGGAGTAAATCCAAATAACTTAAATTTGAGTCAACTCGTTTTGATTTCAAGCCGGATAATAATCGGTTTAATTTCAAGCAGAGCTGGCTCGAAATCAAGCATAACGAACCACTACCCAATTTTGATCCGAGAGAAATCAATTCGAGCCGATTTCAAGCCAGCCCAAATTCGGGTCGAAATTCACTCGCTAACAGCCCTACCCATACTTGGAAACTACTATGACACTTTTATAAACTCTAGGATTAAAACGACTCCATATATAAATAGTTGGGGACTAATTTTTCATCATACTCATTTGTTTTAATTAAAGTAAACTTACTCTATTTTATTTTATTGATTTATTTATCTACTTTTTTGAAGGATACCAATATGGCATCAAATAAAGCTTGTAGTGGTGGCTTGGCTCGTTCTTCCACAGTTCAGAGGGGCTTCCTTCGTATATGAAAGGTTCGTGAGAGAGCAGCTGAAGAAGTATAGAGTTAAGACTGGTGAGCATGATTATGTGAAGGTAATTATTTATTTATTTCAATTTTCTATAAAATTTTGGAAGTGTAAAAATAAAATATATTTTATTAATTATTACTATTTGTTATTATTTTTGTTGTAAAATAGGAAGGAGAGTCTGAATGAGGTGGAATGAGAAGAACATGGATGAAGAAATGTGAGATGTCTTTGCTTTCGTTATCTAATTAGATTATGTTGATTCTATTTTGTTTTGGAGTTGAGAAATTGAAGAGGTGGAGAGAAAATAAAGATAAAAGAACATTAGTATGAATTTTTAAATTTATATATTATCAACATTAAAATAATCAGCTCCCTCAGCTATAGCAAATTGAATGAGGTGTTTTATGATGGACATATAATGGATATTAAATTATGAATAATGCCTGCTCTCATTTTCCTATTGATGTAATGAGATATGTAGATGATAGAGAAGGGGAAGATTTGTCTATGAAAACTTAATAAGGGGTGATTTGAGTCAAATTTGAATGAGTTAGTCAAAGTTTGAAATAACAAAAAATTAGTTTTTACTTGAGATGGATATGGATTGAGCCAACATCATTCTATTTTGCCTAATTTATAAGTAATTGAAATAAATTATACTATTATTATTATTAAACAATTCAAGTTATTAACCAGCAAGTATTAAATTTCAGATATAATTATTGACCTTAAACAACCAAATTTTAGAGAGTAAGAATCAGTCTTATCTTAGGAGTTGTTTGGGATCAATTTTGTTTTTCTTGTTTTTCTTTTATTTTTAAAAACATTTTTTTATCATAAATTTCTATTTTTTTAAAAAAATTAACTTATTTTAAAAAAAAAAACTTAAAATAATTTTTTGATGCTTTTATTGTTTTAAGAAAATGTAGTCATTAACACATATATTTAATTTGAAAATAAAACAAAATAAAATTAAATTAAAAGAAATCTCAAACGGCCCCTTATATTTAATCTCTAAGTAATAATGTAAATTTGATTATAACATTAATATTTACTACTTATTTGTTTTTTTTAATATATTTGAAAGTGAGAATAAATTATTTCTAAATATTTCAATAAATAAATTAAGCATTTTCATAAATTATTCAACATTTTCAGAATACCGTGGTATTAAAAGTAAAGAGTTGGGCCTATTTAAGCTATATATAGGCTACATTGTTCAGAATTTTAATCAAATATTAATGAAAAAAAAATTAAGCTATATATATACATGTTTGGGGCATTTACACACTCACCACACAATTCTTAAGTATTTACATATCTTTCATATCAACATAAATAACACTGTTCTCTTATTTCACATCCAAAATTCCATTGTTGCTGACTTTTTGAATGCGAAGTACACATTTTAATCCATAGATTCATGCACTCAAGGGTTATAAATATAAATATTAAACTTTAGGTGTTAGATATATAAACACAAAGGAATTTTGTGGAGTGAATGTAAGTTTTCCTATTTTTGGGGGCATTTAAATAAATACCACTCAATTCAGAAATATTTACATATCTAACACCAAATTTTTTTTTTTTTTACATTTATATCACCAAAATCATTCACACCTCGTCAAAAGCACCTACCCTTTAAAAAAGTGAAACTCGCATTTTCATGCATCATGGATAAAGTGACATTTATGTAAAAAAATTGAAGTTTAGGATGTGCAAATACATGCAAATTGAGTGTTATGCCTGTAAATTTTCCATTTTATTTCTACAGATCTAAGCTCTGGGAGAGATGACGATAGATTCACTTCAATAAATAAATAAATAAATAAAGTTAGTATATGTTTACGCTAAATATGGACAAGAATAGCACTAATGATGGATTCAAAATCTATTATTGAAGGTGGGTCTTAAGTTTCTTTCTTTGGCATCATCAGATCCAAACTTTATTTTATGCCTTGAAAGACCAAACCGATTAACAATAATTAAAATAAATGCCACCTTATGGCCAAAAGCAGCATTTCATGGTGACAATAATTATAATGGCAACCAAACAAAATACAAAAATTGCAAATAGTTCTCATGCATGAACTTTGCAGAGAAAAGTGTATATATCTAACACCTAAACTTTACTATTTACATTTATGAAGCTCAAAATTTTAATATCACACAAAACCCCACTCTTTTTAGCTTTTAAAAGGTAGAGTACACTTTATTTTATGTATAGATAAAGTGTTATAAATATAAAAATTAAGGTTTAGATGTTATATATGTAAATAGAAAGGATTATGTGGCATGTATGTGAATATTTCAGTTTTTTATGTTTACATTTAAGACATTTTGACATCCATAAATTATTCATGTAAATGATTGATTCAGTTTGAAAAAATAAATAGTAATGATATTTTTTTATAAGATGTTAAAAGTTTGAGTATTATGTGTGTGTGAAAGTTTAGGTGCTACATATTGATTCGTGCTACAGAATTTGAGGCGGTATAATATTATATATTGTTTTAGCGTTACACGAGAATCCAACACACTCAGATAATAGAAGTGACAAGTATGTTCCTGCGCAGGATAGCTCGTTACCCCACGATAAGAAGAGGCCATAGCAGGGAGTAATTGTTGGAGGTTCGGTACATTGTCTTCCTAGTTGGCATGATGTTTGCGATAACACACTGCTTCGTAGGTTGCCTAAGGACTCTGCAGTGTTAGATATTGCTTTGCATGGTGTTTCGTCGCTTCGTAGGGCAAGTCTTGACTCTGCATGGAGCTTTCATACACGGAGTATAGGGAAACCAATGGTGGTTGGCGAAAGTCAGCATGTGGTGGTTTACGATGATTGGCGGCTACAGAAGAGGAAAGTGTTCATAGGATCTTTACGGCAGAAGTGGTGCTGAATTTCAGCTCCTCCAAGCTTCAGTCTTTTTCTCGCTCAAGGTCTCCCCTCTCAAGGAAGGGTTAGAGCTCTATTTATAGAGATTGGAGAGGCCCCAATACAAATAAGGAAGGAATTTAAACTGCTTTATCAAACAACCTAGAGAGATCCGCTTGATCAGACAATATTGAATGAGTATTTGAGTGTCTTAATTATTTTAGAATTAAACGATCTTGAGCTTATTGAATTCATCTCGTTGAGATGGTCTATTTGACTATAAAATTGTCTGATTTGGAATCTTCTTGACCTTCCAATTATGCACTGAAAATTTTCAAAAATGATTTAATATTTTCATATAACAACCTGAAGCCCTCCATACACCATGATGTCAACACTATTCTCAGGCTGGTCCCCTTCTCCAGTTATCTCTCTCTGGAATCTTCTACTCTCATTCTCTCAGGATGCATAAACCTCTAACCACTGCTAAAGTTTATTAGAAAAGTTCTACATATTAAAGCCTCCTCTGGTTTTATACATGTTTATCTATTTCTCTTGGTATCAGAGAAATAGAGAAATAGAGAAATTGGAATTGGGTTAATCTCATTGATCCGATCAATTTGACTCTAAATTTATTGAAATCGAAATCCTAGATAATTTTTAAATGAAATTTAAATATTTGTTGCTCAAAAAATTATCTTGAAATTTATATTATGTCTCGAGGTCCATGTCAGATGATAAAAATTTGTTGGCGACTTATTAGATATATAAATATAAAAAAATATGGTACTTACGTAAATTCGCTTAAAAAATTTAGATGTAGGACACATAAATGTATTATGTGTTATGCAGGTGAATCTCCCTAAAAGTAAAAAAATAAAAATAAGGTACTAGAATCATGTACTCACCTCCATGCCAACTTCCGCTCTCTCTCTCTCTCTTTTCTCTCCCCCTCCTTCAAAAGCCTTTTTCTCCATTTTTTCATGAGCTATTGAAATTCGCCACCTGGAGCTTTGGATTGATTGTTCCCTTTGAAGAAAACAAATATGTTTCAGAAAAGAAAAATTAAAAAAAAGAAGAAAATGAGTGCAGTATTACAGTCCTTTTCCATCTAACTCAATGGAGAAGATAAAACCAAATCTATGCCATGTCCCTCTCATGCTTCCCTGTTCCCTTCCCCTCTCCTCCTCAATTCTCAATTCAATTCAAACGCCATTATCGATCTCGATCCTAGTCTCCTCTCCAGCTTCAAAAAGCAGTTCTCAGAAGCTAATCATCTTCCTCCCTCCTCCATCATCCAGCTCCCAAACTCCCCTTTTTTTTTCATTCTATCCTTCCTTTACTCTCCATGGACAACCAAAGGAAGCAACTTGCACCCAAAAGAAGCTCCAACAAAGACCGCCACACCAAAGTCGACGGCCGTGGCCGGAGAATCCGCATGCCGGCCCTCTGCACTGCTCGTATCTTCCAACTCACCCGTGAACTCGGCCACAAATCCGACGGAGAAACAATTCAATGGCTTCTCCGGCAAGCCGAACCTTCCATCATTGCCGCCACTGGTACCGGAACTATACCGGCCTCAGCACTAGCTTCTGCCGCCGCTGCGGCCGGGCCCTTATCT